ACTCCTTGGAAACCCTATACAGGGTAGCTATGAGTCGGAACCAACTCGGTGTTTCTTATCAAAAACAACAAATTTTATATTAGAGCCCTGGTGTGGAGCTATAGGATAAGCACTGAATTGGTAATGGCAAGGTTGCTCACCATTTGCTCTCAGAAACCCTATACCCTAGGTTTGGTATGAGTCGAAACCAATACAATGACATTTAACAACAAAAACCCTGTGTCATAAAGAGGCAACAAGAGTTCAACTTGACCAGGAAAAGATGAAATGGTAGACAGAATCCCCCATAAATATGACACTGTAGTATAAACACTAGACCTCAAAGTTGGTTGGAACTGCAAGGTTGGTAGTTGAAACCCACCAGCCTCTTCTCAGAAACCCTATATAGAGTTGCTATGCATTGGAACCAACTTGACAGCACTTAAACAACAATAGATGTCCACACCCTGAGGTCTGGAGCCATTAAGTATGTGTTATTGCCAAACCAAACTAGTTACCATTGATTAATTCCAGTTTATGATGACCCATGTAATCATATGAGCCCTTATAAACTGAACTGTTTCCCAGCCAAGGGCAGAAGAGCAAGTTAGATCCCAAGAATGAAAAGAATCCTATAAGCAATTGCTGGCTCTGAGATGTGAATGCCCATAAGTAAAGACCAGAGAGGCAGCAAGGAAGTGGAGACCTTAGTCCTATAACTACAAGGAACTGAATTTTGTCACCAGCCTGATGAGTGTAGAAACAGAGTCTTCTCCAGAGCTTCCAGAAAGAATGTAACTTGATTTTAACATGTGAGATTCTTCTAAGAGAATTCAGTTGAGCCACAGAAACTGAGATAACAAATGGAATGCAGGTGGTTTCAACAAGTCCCTAAAGCCTTGGGAAAGAGTAGGAACCAGGTTTTTCACTAAAGTCTTCAGAAAGAACTAAGCTCTGATAAGACCCTGCTTTTAGGACTTCTAACTTCCAGAGCTGTAAGATAATAACTGGATTGTTTTAAGACACAAGGTCGCTATGGGTCGGAAGCAACTAGATGGCACTTAACAACAGCAGCAAGTCTGTAGTATTTATTGACTATTCTATGTTAGTGAGTTAGGATATGTTGTTGTTGTAGTTGGTAAGCACTGTTGAGTTGGTTCCGACTTATAGCAATCCTGTATAGGATTTCCAGGGAGCAGCTGATGGGTTTGAACTGTTGATCTTGTGGGTTAATAGTCCGCTGCTTATCTACAACACCATACCAGGACTCCCTTGGGATATATTTTTGTTGTTGTTAAGTGCCATTGAGTTAGTTCCAACTCGTAGTGACCCTGTGCCTTAAAACAACCTGAACTTGTTAGCTTACAGCTCTGGAAGTCAGAAATCCTAAAAACAGTGTCTTAGTAGAGCTTGCCTCCAAGGAGCACTCTGGCTGTACTTCTTCCAACACAGATCTGTTGGTTCTTTTGGCTGCCGATGAAACTTTCAGTATTCTCCAACACCATAACTCAAAAGCATCAATTCTTCTACAAACTTCCTTATTCACTATACAGGTTTCACATACTTCGGACAAATTGTCAGGAAGGACCAGTCGCTGGAGAAGGATATCATGTTTGGTAGGGTGGAGGGTCAGAGAAAAAGAGGGGCAAAAAAAAAAAAAGAAGAGGAAGACCCCCAGTGAGATGGATTGGCAGAGTGGCAGCATCAGTGGACTCAAACATGGCAACAATAGTGAGGTTGGCCCAGGATCGGGCAATGTGTTATTCTGCTGTGCATAAGGTCTCTATGAATTGGAACTGACTCGATGGCACCTAACAACAACAACAAGAGAGCTTAGTTCTTCCTGGAGGCTTTAGTGGAAAACCTGGTTCCTAGTCTTTCCCAAGACTTTAGGGACTTGTTGAGGCCATCTGCATTCCATTTGTTATCTCACAGTTTCTGAGGAGCAGCTAGTACGTTTGAACTGTTGACTTCATAGATCAAAGTCCAGTGCTGAACTTACAGCGCCACACCGGGAGTCCCCCTTGGGATATAGTCCTTCATAATCAAGTTCCTAGCATCCTGGTGTGGTGCTATGGATAAGCACTAGACTGCTAACCACAAAGTTGGCAGTTCAAATCCACCATCAGCTCCTTGAAAACCCTATACAGAGTCGCTAAGACTTGAAGGCACTAAACAACAAAAATAGCAATCAAGTTCCTGGTTTCATGGAATCCATGTAGGGATATGGGCCAGGAGAGTGTTAATATAGACAGTATGTAGCAGGTAGATAAGTACTTTGAAGAAAATCCAGCAAGATAAGGGAATAGGAAGTGATAGAAGAGAGTTAAATTCTAGATATTTAAGAAAACTGAAAATAATGATGGTTGAAATGTACAGAGGAAGAGAAAGAAAGTATAACATACATAAATATGGAGAAAAACAGTTAATCAAATGTGTTGTTTGTTTATAATATTTATGTAGAGGTATTTGCTTCATAAATGTAAATTCAGCCTTTAAAGTATTCAAACTTTGTTATTTTTTTAATCAGTTTTGGTTAGAGGTGTTTATTGATTTGAAATATTCTGTTAATTCTACCTTATTTTCTTGGGTTATATCACAACCTTAATTCTCTATGTTTGAATATTAATAAGTTCCATAGAAAATTATAGTCCATATACAAACCCATTGATTTTACCAAGAAGGAAGTATCTATTGCCTTCAGTTAAATCATAAGATAGATATCAGATAAGTCATTTGCTAATGTCTACATTATTAACATTTACAATTAAAATATTTGCACATGTGTCACTTTGTTAAGTAGTCATTGATAAATTTTTCTGCATACAAAAGAACTTTTTTAGAAAAAAGACTTATGTACAATATATAAACAGAGAGTAATAAGTATATTTTATAAAGCACTAAATGAATAAGAATTTCAACTCATGAACGTTGAGTTGTTAGACAAGATTGACATCAAAGAAAAATATGGTTTTGAACAAAGGAAATGTTTCTAATGAGTTGCAACCCTCTTACAAAAATCTTAAATTATGGCCTTTAAACAAATTTTTAAAAACTTTATTTTACTAAACAGCTAATTTTCTAGGCATGAGTTGGAATCAGTTCAATTGCTACTGGTTTGACTTTTTTGAAGTCCCAATAGTATTCTTGTATAAAATATTCTGATATACCTTAACATTAAGGAGCAAACTCCAAATGACACTGAATTGAAATTATTCACAGCTAGTATTAAAAATTCCGTATGATTAGTAGTCCTGGTGTGGCGCTGTGGGTTAATGTGCCAGACTGCCAAGCCGTTTGAACTGCAAGGTCAATGGTTCAAGCTTACCACTCCTCAGAAACCCCATATAGGGTCGCTCTGGGTCAGGAACCAATTCGATGACACTTAACAACAACAACAAATTAGTAATAATTTAAGAATTAGTGTGTTTTTTTCCCTGAAGATAGCCATGGTGGCACAGTGGTTAAACATTTGAATGCTAACCAAAAGGTTGGTAGCTCAACCCCACCAGGCTGGCTCTGTGAGAAAAAGATGGCAGTCTGCTTCCCTAAAGCAGCCTTGGACACCCAGTGGGGCGTACTACTGTGGCCTGTTGTTACTTGTTGCTTCTTACTCATAGCGATCCATGTGTAACAGAATGAAACATTGCCCAATTCTGAGCCATCCTCAGAATTGTTGCTATGTTTAAGCACATTATTGCAGCCCCTGTGTCTGCCCGTCTCATTGAGGGCCTTCCTGGTGTGGCTCTGTAGGATAAGCACTGGACTGCTAACCAAAAGGTTGGTGTTTGAAACCCACCAGCCACTCTTGAGAAACCCTATTCAGAGTCTTTATGAGTAGGAATCGGCTCAGTGGAACTTAAGAACAACATGCTTTCCCAGGAGTACTGGTGTAGCACTGTAGGCTAAGCATTACACTGCTCGTCGAAGGGTTGATAGTTCAAACCAATCAGCCACTCCTCAGAAGCCCTATACAGGGGCTGACAGACTTAACAATAACATACTCTACCAAGCATGATGTCCTTCTCCAGGGATTGGTCTTTCTTGATAAGATGTCCAAAGTACAGGACTCAAAATCTTGTCATTGCTTCTAAGGAGCAGCCTGGCTGTACCCCTTTCAAAACAGATTTGTTCGTGCTTCTGGAAGGCCATAGCACATTCAGTATTCTTTGCCCATACTGTAACTCAAATGCATCACTTCTTCCCTGGTCTTCCTCGGTCATTTCCAGCTTTCACATGTATGTGAAGCAATTGAAATACCATGGCTTGGGTCAGATGCCCCTTAGTTCTCAAAGTGGTAATTTTGCTTTTGGTGTTTTTTAACTCTGAAGTGATCTCTGTTATACAGAGTTGCTATGAGTCAGAGGCAACAGCTGTGAGTTTTAGTTTGGATTCCTGAAGATGTTATTTATATGTGATTTTTTTTTTTTTTTTTAAGATTTGATTTTTAAAATAAAATAGACGTTTTTGAGGGTGAGAATGATCCTTTCCGTCCTATATGTAATCCAAATTGAAGCATGGCAGTTTTCAAAAGCGTTTATTAATGTGCCGTTATTAAATGCCGTCAAGTTGGTTCTCACTCATAGCCACCCTGTCTAGGGCTTCCGAAGAGTAGCTGGTGGGTTTGAGCCACTGACCTTGCAGCTAACCATCCGCGGCTTATCCTATAGTACCACACCGGGACTCTTATTAATTGACTACTAAATAAGGAGCACTGGTAGTATACTGGATTACGAGCCGGATGCTAACCACAAGGTCAGCAGTTTGAATCTGTCAAAGATTCCGTGGGAGGAAGATGAGCTTTTCTGCTCCCGCAAAGATTTACAGCCTCAGAATCCTTCTACAGTGTTACTGTGAGTTGGAACTGACTCCATGACACACAACTACCACCATCAAATATTTAGTAAATTACCAAATGGATATTTCGTGTGTTAATCCCACTGCATTTTTTTCCCCAGGTTACAGATATGATCCAGACCCATACGTGAATTACTTTGGCTGGTCTGAGTGAACAGTTAATAATGAGCGGTGCTGCTTTGGGACTCGAGATTGTTTTTGTTTTCTTCCTGGCATTGTTTCTACTTCATCGATACGGAGACTTTAAGAAACAGCATAGGCTTGTAATTATTGGAACACTTCTTGCTTGGTATCTCTGCTTCCTTATCATCTTCATACTGCCTCTAGATGTTAGTACGGTAAGACATGAAACTGCTTTCCACAATTTAAAAGGCAATTGTAATGACACAGCATGTTTGAGATACTTTTTAAGACAGCTGAGTTGTGTAAGGAGTCTGGAGTCCTGGTGTGGCGCTGTGGGTTAGTGCTCCAGACTGCAAAGCCATTTGAACTGCAAGATTGGTGGTTCAAGCTCACCAGCTGCTCCTAGGAAACCCTATAAAGGGTAGCTTTGGGTTGGAACTGACTCAACGGCGCTTAACAACAACAACAACTTTTGTGAATTATGCTTATGCTTTGACTTTAAATGTTATTTCATGAATTTGATCATTAAGAAGTATAGCCAGGAAGGGAAATTTGTATAGACAGGCATTATTTCTTAAGTACTTTTGATTCTCATTTTCAAACTGTACATTGATTCCTGTAGACAATATACAATCGGTGCAAACATGCTGCTGCAAACTCAAGCCCTCCTGAGAACATCAACAGTACAGGGTCATCCCCGACTGCTACCCCCGTTCCAAGGTATTTCTTGTTGGCTTGCTTTTTCATAGAAATATTTTAGGAAAAAATTATTTTGTCTGTTTTGACCATTCATATTTTTATTTATAAAAAATTATAGTCTCACCCCTTAGCCTCCATCCTTTGCTTATAGACTTTTTTTTTTTGGTATGTGTATGGGGGGAAAACAGAACAAAACAACAACAATATATATATGGTGGTTTTAGAAAGTTCATAGAAAAATGGAATTAAAAGTTAATGGAATACTTCCATAAACATTCTGTTTAAAATCCCCTCATAAGAGTTTGTAGGAATAGAATTGGTGGGTTGTGTGGTAATATTATCACTACTCTTCTGTCAGTTTGTCATACTGTGGTGGCTTGGATGTTGCTGTGATGCTGAAAACTATTCCATCTGTATTTTAAATACCAGCAGGATCACCCATGATGGACAGGTTTCAGCTGAGTTTCCAGACTAAGACAGACTAGGAATGGAGAGAGGTGGACCTCTTCTGAACATTTAGCTACTGAAAACCTTATGAATAGCAGTGAAATCCTGTCAGATAGCATCACTGTATCTAATATTGTACCATGATGAATAGCATCAGTATATTGTCACATAGTATCAGAGGATGAGCCCCTTAGGTTGGAAGACACTCAGAGTATAACTGGAGAAGCGCTGCCTTCTCAGAGAGTTGAGCATGATGACTTGAATGGAGTAAAGCTTCCAGAACCTTCATTTGCTGAGGGGGCACAGTTCAAAAAGAATGCAAACATCCATTAATAATCAGAACATGGAATTATGAAGTATGAATTTAGGAAAATTGGAAATTATCAAAAATGAAATGGAATACATAAAGATCGATATCCTAAGTATCAGCTGAAATGGACTGATACTGGCCATTTTGAATCTGAAAATCATATTGTTTACTATGCTGGAAATGACAAATTCAAGAGGAATGGTGCC